AGGAAAGACATCAGCTGAACAGTCCACTATGGAGTGTTTCAAGCCTGACGTGCAGAAATGCAGTGACTAAAAAGCTGTGAGCTGCTTATTCTGTAGGTAAAAGAAAATGTGATACAGAAAAAGTCTTCACATCCAAAGTGAAAGAATTTAGCGATGAGGCTCTAAAGCAGGCAGTGCTAAAAACACCACAGCACACCAGCTCGCCACTGAATGAACTTTAAAAGCAGTGAAAGACGGAGAGAGCAAAGAGTGAAGGAGGCGTGCGTGGCTGGAGGTGGAGAATTTAAAAGGAAGAATGAAAAAAGCTAAAAGCAGAGGCAAAGAAAGAGAAGCAGAGGAGGGCGAGAGGGTTTAAACTTCAACCTCGGAGTCAGTGGGTTCAGTGACATTTGCACCAGGATCTGCCTCACTGCTACTCACAGCTTTTCACAAACAACACTTTCCCTCCTTTCAATCCCAATTCTTTTTCATCCACCTACATTTGCTGCAGAATGAGAACATTCACAGTGTCGAGGGCAGGAGGAAAAAAATACACTGGACAGAATGGGCGAGTTTCACTCATTGATGCCTGCATAACAATTTGCCACCCCATATGTCCTCCTGATTCTTCTCTTATATTGTATGCATACTTATGGCAGGATTAACAAGGGAGAAAATGAAAAAAAAGAATAAGAAAAATGACATGTGACAAGCGATTCATTTGAGCTGTCAACATGTCATCTTCACCACATTCAAACCTCATGTCATGCTGCTCCTGTTCCTTCACTGGTGAAGGTGACCTAGGTCGCAACCAGCCAACACCCCCACACACAGCAGGTGAATACAGTGGCAACAGTCAATGTCAGTGAATAAATGGCAAATTAGTGTAAAATGTATTAATTAAATAAAATGTGCAATTAAAAGACACAATATATAGAAATATGGAAAATATAGAGAAGAGTTGAAAGAAAGGTGAGTAAAAATTTACAAATGAAATCCTGTATTATTTTGTAAGGATGTTATTAAAAAACAAATCAACAGAACCACAGAAAAGAATTTTCAATACAAACAGAATAAACTTTGAAAGTGATGAAGCTTTTAGAAGGAAAAAAAGGGTGTTTTGGATGTTCTGGTGAAAAAGATCAAATAAAATAAAAAAATTCTGAAAGGGAGACAAACAGAAGTGAGGTCACGGTGGAGCTATGGATCAGGTGTCAGAGAAAGCACCAAGGCCAGCGTGAAGATGAGGTTAAGAGAAAGAGGAGAAAAATAAAACTGTGTAAGATCAGAGAACACGTGGAAAAGATCACGAAATGAATGCAGACGTAGAAGGATTATGGATGAGTGTGGAGAGAAAATACACACGTGTGTACTGACTTAACACAGAACTGTGTGAGCATAAAAAAAAAAACAGTAATGTGGAGTGTGTTGACGACGGGGGCAAGGGGCAAAAAAAGAATGAACCAGTGAAGGGGTTTTCATAAAGCGAGCGAGAAAAGGATGGTAAAACATAACAAACGTGGCGAGGGGCACATGGGAGACAAGACGTGGAAAACTAAGCCCAATGGGCTCTAGAGAGTGAATGAAAGAGCGAGTGAGCTCTGAAGTACAGGGCAAGGAGGAGAGCAGGACCTTGCCTCTGTGGCGACGAGCTGATGGAACCGAGAGGGAGGCAGACAAAGACGCATGCTGATCTCACATGCTGCAGAACAAAGAAGAGAGGTGCATCATGGGAGTCTGAGCCCTACACCACCATTGACGCCATACTGGATGAACACACAGTGGACCGCGTAGGGAGAAAATGTGAGCACATAGATGGCCATAGTGTAATAGGTAAATTAGGAAAATGTCAATTTTAAAACCTATGTCCTCTATCTTTTCAATATAAGTTTTTATTGTTGAAAAACAAGGTATACCACGTGATGCAGTTTTACAAGGTAGCCTTTCTCCCATTATTGTTCTTAAAAGACGGTCCATTATTAATGCTGTTTAAATCTTCTCCTTATGATGGACAGGCATTTCTCCAAAGAGTAATACATTGTGTCTTTACCGTAGCAGTCTTTCTAAAAGTAGCCCTCAATCTATGTGGCTGTGTTCATCATGGAGGCATGGGCCTGAAGGTCACACTCATTCAGCAGCAGATTTAGCCCACAGCCTTTACATACATTTCTTTCTTTATTTTGAATATATTTGTACATATATTGGATGTAGAAATAATGCCTAAAATGTTAATTCATTGTTAAGGATTATTCAGTGCATCCATCCACATAAGTTGCTTGTGTTCATAGACAACACACTTTTTTTTTTGCTTGCACAATGAGGGAAAATGTTTCAAAATAGCACCAGGAGTCTAAAACCATCGCCCACCATGTGTTTGTGGAGTCTTCAACTTCTGGACGTCTTGTCCACCTTAAGTCAGAGCAGCCTCACTCACAGCCAGCACAGAGGGGTAAATAAGTCTACAGCTGACAAGCTGACTAATACAACTGTCAAATGGATTGTAACTGTTGAGTGATTAATATTAATATTGTTGAGAACAATCACCAAAGTTTTGAGAGCACCACTCTATAAGAATGTTAACACTAAGGTATACTTTTGTATATATATTTTTCCATGTTTATAATTCAATTTTTTGGATTAATTTTTTTACACAAATAAAAACATGTGTAAAACACATACATCTACCTGTTGTTAATAGTCTTAGTTCCTAGAAATAAACAAAAATATTTTAAGCAAATTTAGGAATTTTTATTTTGAATAATCCTGATTATGTTTTCTTCTATGATCACGATCAAAGGTGATAAATTGTGGCAAATCCACAGTTTTCCTGTCATTAATCAGATTAATAAATTGAATTGATTGCATTAGTCTCAATCATATCCAGAGAAAACAGAGGCTGCAGGGAAAAAGTTCCAACTGGTTTTGATTTGTTTTGAGGGGGGGTTTCTAACAGAATTATCACAAACCTAAAAGAAATATGATAAATCTTAGCTCCATCTTTCTACTGTTTTTAAAAACCACACTATTACTCCTGTCTCTTCTCTCTTTCTGTCTCTCCTCTTTTCATCTGCTCTCTCTCACTCCATTTCCCTCTCTTCCTGCGGCAGGTCTGATATGCCAGAGCAGCAGCAGCTGAACTCTGAGTAGCACTGTCTCCGGGAAAAAAACAAAGTGATCAATGTGAGAAGGCACGGGGCGCTCATGGACAGGCCAATCAATGGTGGAAAGAACCTTGCCCAGGGCTTTATGCAAATGGAAGCACGTCCCGTAACCTCAGGAGTGAACATGCGCACTGTAGATCAATGGGACGAGGGGAGAACCTTACAGCAAGATCAGCCTCAGCCAGTAAATATGTAATGATGAATCCCTCAAGATTAAACTGAACTCAAATGAACTTCAACTAGCGGGGCTTCTTGTATCATAAAAGTGGCAAAAAAGAGCATGTGTGGAAGGTGGAGGTGGGGTAAGAGGTGGGCGGAGTTGGACAACAGAGAGGGAGAGATTAGAAGGAAGCGCCGCACAATGATGCATCGTGGACAGATGGACTTTTCACTTCATTTTTACTGGAGAGGGTGGAGAAATAAATACAAAAAGGTGATAGACTCACCTGAACCAAACGTCTTTGAGATATAATGATTTTTAATTATTTCACCATTATGTCTCCCTGTCACCAAACAGGGTGAAAAGATGGGATAGACGCCTGTGACGTTGATTTAAAATCATCAGCCGTCACGTTGGAAGAAAGTTACCGACCAAAAACTTAGCCCTAAAATCAGCAGACAAAATAATTGACAACAGTTCACCTGAAGAACTGACACCCACTAAGAAACGTGAAGTTGCCCAAAAGAAGCAAAAACAGATTCACAGACAACGGCTGCTGATTTTACAACACAAACAGTTGAAGCTTATTGACCACACTGGTGTCAAAGCTGGAGGTGAGAGCATCAGCTCTGTGTCTGCCTCCGGTGTGCTGAGTGTATTATACACTGACAGAAGCTAAAGCAATGTCTTGATTTAGCCTTGGTTGTCAAATTTGTTTTACATGACCTTTTTTAATCTCGGATCCTCCAGAAGAAAACAAAAGTACGGAAACACACGTATTGTTTTATGTATTTATACCTGCAGCACTTGCAAAGCAAGGTTCAGGGAAACAGCTTTTAAAACAGGGAACAAAAGGTGAATCACATCCCTGAGAGCTACTCCTAACAGTCTACTTTGTCTGAGTTCTACTTAACAGCCCTTCAGGAAAATCTGTATTTAAACACCGCTGCTTATACTACATTCACTGAAAAGGAGAATTAATTAGATACAGTAGTATTAGTAATACTGTGTTTGCAAATAGTACAGAGTAAAAAAACAAAATAAAACACACAATTTTACTCATGGACAACTCCTGATGCTGTATAGCTTGGTGAGACTGGTAAATTATTGCAGATTATTGATGTAAAGATCAAAGATCAAAAAAGAGCTGAAGACAGCAGACCAACCCGCCACTAACAAATGGAATTAATATGAATTTAACAATTCTAATTATCAATTTAATTCCTTATTTATTCTCACTGTGTTAGAAAATAAAATATAGCACAAATACCATGTACAAATACTATGGGTTTGTCAGGTTTTGTAATTTTTTTATTTCCATTTCAAGCATTCTGGCTTCCCATCATGTTTAGTTGATAGGCAAGGTTGTCCAATCAGAGCCTGAGAACAGGCTTTAAGCTTTTTGGTTTAAGAAAATAAAATAGTCCAGTTGCTAATCTGAGGAATGGGAATTCGTTTCACCCTTCAAAAGGGTTTTCAGGATGAAGGCAGAATCTCTTGGCACAAGTGATCTTTGTTTAAAGAAAAAAAAAATACCTGTAATTATACAATGATACCAGAGAGGCAGGCAGACGGACAGATACAAATTTGGTCATAAACTTCTTTGGTAGAAGGAAGGAAATTGAAGGGGGCTTGAAATATGGGGGGGGGGGGGGGGGGGGAGAGGAGGCTGAAGATGAATGATTTAAGGGTAGAGTATTTCCAAACCCCTCTCCCCCCACACCTCTCCTCAACACCTCATATGTAATCTAGAAACCAAAGATGCTCCTGAAACACAGAGAGAAACACCAACAAAGGTGAGAATAATGGCAACGTATTGAAGGGAATACTTCACAATGCCTATTGTGCCAGTATCCTTTTCAGGCGGCAGACCCGATGTAATTTGGTCTGCGTCATCTGCCTCTACTCACAATGCAGCACTACAGCTTTGAAATGGATGGCAAATGAAGGCCATTTGTACATAATCACAGCAGATAGAAGAATTCTGAAGCCCTACAATGTGTTGTTGGGGCAGAAAGAAAGACCTTGGTCTATCTGTGGCAGCCAGCGCTGCTAAGCCCTGGCAAGGGAGGTCTTTTTTTCCCAGAAACAAGCAAATCAATTCAAATCAAATCAGCTTGCTGACTGTGACATTTAAACAGTTCAATTTACATCCTTATGTTAAGAGGAGAGCTGCTCTCTAAGATGCCTATTCATTCACAAAGAAATTAGACATCTATATTTCAGCTGCTTAATAGAGCAAATATGCTGTAGCCGTAGCAAAGAATGTGTCGTGTTTCTCTTCAGTGTACAAAGGGCTAGGCATTGTCTAACATCAGGAGTGCAGCCCGAAACACAGAAAAGGGATAATATACACAATAAAGGCAGGACAAAACAAAAACAGGGCGGTGCATGATATGTATGCATTATAACATATGTGTACATTTAAGTGCAAACACACACAGAATCAATGCTGGTGTATGTCCTAGGGGCTGTCTTCCTGCTGTGCAGGCTGGCAGGCACTTTTGACATGGTGGTCCTTTTGTTTCACATCAAACAAAATGCCGCAGCTTTGCAAACGGCTCCACTAATTTCTGATGGTGTGCCCCAGCCATTTATCATTGCCGCTCACCCTCTCCTCCTTTTTTCCTCTCCTAACATGGCTCTGATAGCTTTGCTTTCAGCCAAGCTGTTTTCCTCAGGAAGATGCAGACTAAAGCAGGCTGGGGCTGACACACACACACACACAAATGCGCACACACACGCACACACACACACAAACACACAGGCATAAATACCTCAAACCCAGTTTCAGATAGAGGCAGACAAACATACACACATCACATGGATATTAGGACACGCATATGCGCAGGAAACTGCAGTGCTCCTGAACTGCCCCAGAGCCCGCTAACTATGCAGAACCTTGAGATAAGCTTACCATCTCGTCGTACAGTCCAGAAGCCATAGGCATAGACAGACCAGTGCTCAGAGTGTATATATATATACCACAAAACAAACAAACAACAAATAAATGTTAACCTTGCTAATCTGATTTAACACTCTCAAAGCACCTATGCAAACTGTGTATAAACCATATGACTGGATCCCTGACGGATAGCCAAAGAATTTAATTAGCTCCCAACTCTTCTTCTTAACAGTAAACACATTTTTCTGACTCAGTCTGAATCAGCCATGGGTTTTTTTTATCCTTCTCATCCTCCACATACCAGAAACGATGGAGTCCACAAGGAAAAAATCCATCCTTCATCTGTCTCACCTCAAGCATCCTTTCCCACATCTGATCCTCAGCCTCAACTTACAAATCCATTAAAAACCAAGGAGGGTGGAGAGAAACAAGCCAAATCTGTGGAAGACTATGTGCACACACTTCATTTGTAAGGATACATTATTTGTGCACATACAGAAATTGGCCTCTGTAATAATGTCTTTGAATGGCTGTTTTGGCGGCTAGGTGGCTGACTGATTGGCACCCACACAGTTGTGTACTGGAAGACAGATGCATTCTTACATAAGACCTTATATAAGGCTGTGCTCTGTCCTGTTCAGTAAGACTGCTCCTTTTTCACTGCTTGTGCAGAAAGCTTAGTTCAGGGTAAGACTCTTCATCAACATGACCACCATCGTTACCAGACTTCACTTCTGGCTACAGAAGCAGATCAAAAGACAAGCTAAGCAAAGACATAGTGATAGAAATAAATGCAGGGCCTCATTTCTGGGTGTCTTGTTATCTCACTGCTTCCATCCTGGTAAAATCTTGTCCGCAGGTGAAGAAAGCATTACCAGATTCCGCAACCAAAACAATTATTATGTTTTGTGTGTGTGTTTGGGATATGAGAAAGAGGTATAGTGGGCTGGGGGTGTGGACCACAGGCTCTGAAACCTCTTCGGTTTTGAAGGATACTGAATAACAGTACTTGGAAAATAACCCATCTTCTTTTAAAAACAATACACCTGAGACAGTGAGGAGCACAGGCGAAGAGGAACAGGCTGGCCAAGCATGAAAACAGATGTCAGAGGGGACCACAGGCTCCACGGAAGAGACAGAGGGAAGGACATACAACTGAGATGGATGGGTGGATTCTGCCGGAGATAAAAAAAAGGTTAAAATAAAGAAATAAAGTGTTAAAAACTGGGAGGTACAGCAAAAAAACAAAAAAAAAAAACAAACAAAAAAAAAACATGCAGCTTTACCCTCATTGTTTTCCCTTTCATTCAAAGGAAGACAGTGGCCCTTTGATGTATTTATAATTAGTCAGTACACACTGTGAAGTGTTTTAAAAGACATAAAACTGCAATGGAACACTCCAGCCCTCCAAACAGGGTTTAACATGCTCCGAGGGTGAGGAATAAAGGGTGGGGAAGGCAAGAGAGATATTTCTTGAAAATATTTAATGGAAAATAATTAATGGCAAGCCATTTCGATGTGCTTGATCAGAAATGTATTTATTACCAGCAGGGGAGCAGTAATTAACCCACAGACAGCTTGTTTTCTCCGGGTCTTCTCATGTGTCAAACGGTTGATCCCGCAAGGCCCTGCTCTCCACTCGCCTGCCTGTGTGAGTCCACCTCCCATCCCTGTCCCATTGGACCACTTTCTCCTCAATTGAGAAAATGGCATGTGTGTGTGCGTGTACATATGCATGCTTGTTTGTATGCAACTGTTTATGAGATTATATGAAACAAGCATCAATAAAATTGAAATTCCTAATAAACAAAATTAATTGATAATTCTGTAGTTTCTTAGCTAACGTTAATGTATGTGCCTTGACTAAAGAAGCAAAAAGATGAAACTGCGTTATTGTTACTGACAACAGTAATTCACCTTGACAGACAATCTTATTATACGCCTCAACTACAGTTGAACACAAGCTGTGAGGTCAATAATCAGTATAAAAAGAGCATCCACCAAAGGCACAGACGTTCCAAGCAGAAATGGCTCATCAGTTTATGCTGAACTTTACCAGATAATTGAATGTCACTTTGGACACAGACCCTATTGGGCATGGGACTGCACTGGGAAATGTGTTCTATGGTTTGACAGATTTACATTTAAGCTAAAAACCATAAGCTGGATTCAATGTCCTCTAAACCAGACATCTATGATGGTCTATAGGTGCATCAGTTATCAGTGTTACTGACGAAGATGTATTTGAAATTTAGGAAGATTCATCTTTCCTTTTAATGATTAATGATTCTTTATCAAAACAATAAAAAATATTTGTTCGCCAATGAAAATTTTTTGAACTTTCTGCACTGGACACTTACTTATAACATTACAGTAACAAAGAAATAGTATACATAAAACTGCAACTTCTCATTACTTTCCAAATTTTGAGCTAAGTGGAGGAGACATGGCCTAATAGTAAATGGTTAGAATTTATAAACTAGTTCATATTTAAGTGGTTAAAACACAAAATAAACGTAGGCCACCAAAGTGTTTGACAATGGAAAGCTAATGTGACATATCAAAACCAAAAGTCTCCGAAAAAGAACTACATAGTATTGTTTACGTGTGGCAAAGTTTCTGATGGAAACACATGCAGAGCAGGATGGCTACCAAGGTAAAATCAGCTGGGAGTTTTGACATAGATCCACAACAATGGCTGGGACTGTCTCCAGGGAAACCTGACTGGTTTATTTTAAAATACAGTAACTTATGAAGTACACAGGGATCTTTCAAGCATTGGTTTTGATGTTGTTTATGCTATATTGAGTATGCTGTATATGCATACGTTGTACTGTACGTGTGTGAGTTTCCAACTGAGCCGGTTTTCACATGACAGAGACATAACATAAAAGAGAACACTTAGAGCCTTGTTGAGTCCTTTAAGCACTCAAACCACACCAACATGGATGTGGGGCGAGTGGAGAAAACACAAAGATACAAGAGGAGAAACCCCCATTTTCGTCAAACTGTGAGAAAGCCCTGGAGATTGTGAAGCTGTCATGGACAAAACACTGCATGAATATTTAGCAACCAAATTAAAATTACAAAATACTAAACAAAACAAGACGAGGTGACGAAATAAGAGGGAGAGAAAATAACATATTCCAGAATACACCGGTGGGACAAGTGCCCACCTTTAATTCCCCACTTATATCCTCATTCATTTGCTCCCCACTCCCCTGTCCTCCCTGCTTCTGAGAGAAATGGGGAGAAGCTTGTCTTAAATAATAACAGATGTATCGGTAAATACTTCAAATGAAGAAACCAACATGTAATCTAGCTTTTAAATCACAGAGTAGTACACGGAGTGATTATCTGCACTAATTGTATTTGAATGTATTTGTATTTGAATAGTACTAACAAATCCAGTGTAGCATGTTAAATAGATTTTAGCATGTAGATATCTTTTAGAAAGTAATTGCGATTTTGAAGTGTGTACAAAACAGCAATGAAAAAGAAAATGGACTTATGCGAATAATTCTGATTTATCCATTCTTTTAGATTTAAAGTATGTGCTTGTAGCATTGAAGTCTGCTTCAACATCTATTCCTACATCAGTTTTAACCCTAATTTTGACGGGGTAGGTTAGTTACACTATTTGAGCACTATTTTCAAAGAAACATCATACATATGGCATTCCAAGAAGGGTTGAACTAATCTCTGTACATTATTTCTAAATAATGGTAAAGAGGAGTGGTTCATGTGGCGTTTTGGCTCAGAGGCAATTCCGGTTAGGGCGATTGGTACCTTCCAGTGGACTCACCACCTGCCGAATGGGGGTTGGTACGGTGCAATGTGATTTGGGTGGCAGTCATAAAGACTGCTGCCCCCGCGACCCGGTAACGGATAAGCAGATGAAATGGATAAATGGAAGTTCACAGGTTCACAGCATTTCTTTTAGATCACTGATATTATGGTAACTTATTTTACCAATAATTTAAGATTTGCTAATGTAATGCCTGCTCAGTCCCAGGACTAAAAATGATTTACCAGATAGTATCTGGGAAACAAATAAATGCAAATAAGAGAAAGGAAATCTGACCCGGCAAAAAATGTTCCTTTGTCTCAACTTTTTCAGACAGTTTTTCAGGTAATTCCTTCTAATTTTACTCACCCTACATCCCTGACCTACTTTGGCATCATATTCTATCCTGTGGTTTCAGAGTTCAGATAATCAGTTAGTCTACAACTAAAACAAAAAGTGGACCAAAGGTCTGATAAGATATTATTCAATTATTCAATTATATACAAGACTGAGTTTATCTGTCAAAAAGTGTCTACAGTTTATATCAACATTAAAAGGAACCTTCTTAAAAACAAAGAACACCGACTGTCACGACTGACATCTATGCTATCAGGACAGACTACTATGTGGGCCTGATGACATCAAATGCAGTAAGTAGCAAGCAAGTATGGTATACAAAACTACCTTTTTCTCTATCAATCATTAGTCCCTAATGCAATTGAAACCAGCTGGGAATAACTCATCCTGATGGTCCTGGCCATGTGCACGCAGAGGCCTGACTAGTCATGAAGCCACTAACACAAGAGAGAGTGATGATCAATATGTAATGGAAGGTCCCAGTAGGACATTTGAGTTAAGCAAACAGTATAGTAAGTCAGGCATTTAGCTTAGGAGCCTCCATATAACCTACAAAAGATAAAGCATTTATCCCAGGGGTGCAATTACAACGCAAGGAGGCTGGCCAAACCTTTATTTTCACCTTCCCCTGTGAAAAATGTATTCTTTTAAATTTACCTTTACAACACCAATTTTTAACCCATCATTTTGTCACTCTTTAGACTGTGATGAATCCATTATATCCACCTCCATGTCTGGGTTAAAAGTAACTGTTCTTCTGTTGCCATACTTAGATTTAGCTATGTAGCATTTTCCTCGTTTCCTTGTGTTCTTGACGTATAGAGGAGGTGGGTGGTCCCTTGGGACAGGGATGAACCAGATTGTTTGCAGATATGTTGGCTTTTGGGGGGAAAAACAAAATGCTTTTTTATTTATTATTTCTCCACCATCTCACTGAGGATACCCAAACATGTACTGCACTGTATCAGGTTATCCATTCTCCTGACTTCTGACTTTTCAACAAAAATGCAGAAAAAGGACAAAAATATTGCAAATTTGCATGTGGATGATCTATATCCCAACTATTATAAATAATAAATAATAGTAACAAAAGTAATAGTTAATGAAATGGACATCTCGACTCAAGTCCTTGGCGCTTGCACAGAGGCATTAACAAAATATTATTTTGGTTTTGTCAATCAGAATACCTAAAACCATACATTGCACAATATTTTTTTTTCTACCATAGTGATTGGTATTATAACTACATCTACCTCTTATAACTCTCTATGGATTGACCATATGTGGGTGTGACTGCTGTAACAATGGAGTATTGTCTTTATCAGTGTCTTTATGTAAGAGGAAGGCAGGAAGGAAAAGTGGAAAAAAATGAAACACCTACCAGTTCAACAAAGGACAGCCCACCGTAGCTGTGGGCCATGATGAAAACATTTTTGGCTGCAGCGTTGGACACAAAGTTGTCCCACACGTATAGCACGTGTTCCTCCGAGGAGCCATTTTCCTGCAACACAAAAGCAGAACACTTAAGTAAGATACAACCTGGCACAAAGGGGTCAATCAAACACAAATCTATAGAGATCTTAGACTCTTGGATTTTAATGCTCCATCTTCAACATGATAAATGCTAACATACAGCCAAGAAAAACAAAACAAAAAGGCCACAGTTGCCGGGGGTGATTTCTATAAAGAGCCACACTTGAGCAGATCGATAAGTCTTGCATATTGCAAATGCCCCAATGTAAAACTCAATAGCCTGGGAGACATAACGTTTAAATCTTAATTTGTACCCTGTTGCTGAATCAATGGTCCATCCATACACTAGTAGAGGCATTATGGTACAACACAAGAGGAAGGTCAAAGGATTAGAAAAAAAAGGCCACAGAGACGATATGTACAAATGCACGTGCATTTGTACATATCGTTTCTGTGACCACGCCGTGGCAATTGCAAATTAATACACCAATGTGAATTTCTCATTGATCTCAGTATATAAACGTATAAGTTGGATACACCTTTGAAAGAAAAGACAAGTGCACGTCCACAAAGAGCAACAGTAAGAGTACAAATGAAAAACGAACATCTGTTAATGAACGTGACAATGATTCCACTCTTTGATCTGCTATCAATCGTTCTGCTTTACAATGGAACTCCACAAGACAATACAATACAGCCTTGTCAAACCAGAAGAAAAAACTGTATCCTTCTACAAACCACACTGTATTTAGAACCAAACTCTAGGAACAAACAGACAAATACACACAGACATTCTCCATTTAATTAACCTTTGTGTATGTGAGAAAGAAAACCCTAGAAAACAAACCCATGGAGAAAGTAGAGAAAAAATAACCTCATCTGATAATTGAGTGTCAAACCAAACTATAAACGTAATTAGAGACATGAGAAAAAAAATAAGGACAGATGAGTCTTAAGAAACTACCCTGGTAGATTTCACTAATTTGTTTGTATGTAACACAGAAATACTGCATAATATAACCAAAGGATAATTGCTTCACCATCCACTGTAGTAACTGTGAAAAAATACAGCACATACACTTTATGTGATGGGAAAAAAAAGGTCTTTGATTTATAAAAGACCATGAGGCAGCTTGTGTTTCCAAAGAGGCCCTTGCGTCTACAAGTGTGTGCCATTTGTGTGTTGCACTTGTTCGATATGATGATGTGCTGATGTGTGTGTGTGTTTTGTTGCAGTGTTTGTCTGGAGGTAAATTAACCTGTCAGAGTGTTTGTGTTTACTGCTAGATTAGCTTGTGGGGGCTGCAGTGTCAGAGCCCACTTCCATTCACAGAGTGATGCAAGAGCAAGCAACTCTGCTCCTGCCTTGCCCTTCTGCCATCTCTGCTCCCTCTGTGTGTGTGTGCAAGAGTGTGTGTCGTCTCTGGGCTGGCTGCCGTAGCAGAGTTGTCTATCTGAAAGGCTGTGGCATCAAAGTCCTTTGAAGTCCCTCCTCTCCTCCGCCATGTCGCCCTTCATCTGTGAGGCCCATTTCATTAGTCACCCTTCTTCAACCTTTTCCTCCTCTCCATCCTTCTGTTCCTCCTTATGCTGATTCCTCAGGGCTCTTCTTCACACTCCATCTCTCATTGTGTCCACTTATCCACCCTCCCTTTGGTGCACTGTCTGTTATTGAGATATTAGGCAGGGTTTGCCACTGTACCCAAATACCTCTATGCATGTTTGTGTGTGTGGTACAATTCAAATCAAACATACAGTAGTACAATAAAATGTAAACGATTTAAAAGAATTAAAATGTTGTTACCTTTAAACATAATTTACAAGGAACATGTCAGGTAAAGTCTTGATAATGAAGTGATAATGAATCTCGAAAGCAGAAGATGTTAGAAGTCAGGTAAGAGAAAATATCTTTAAAGTAACTGTAACTGTTAGATTCCTTATTTGGGATGTTTGGGATTCTACACTGTATGTAGGGATAATAGGAACTCTCATTAAAAACTCTTGTGTTTGCAAGGAATGGAGGCTAATAACATCTTAGTCATCAAAAATAATATAAGTATAATCCAGTAGGAAATCTGCCTGATTCCAAACGTTATTAGCCAGCATACTACAGGTGTTATAAATGTGTTTATGTTTAACAAATGCATTGTTGTGACTCAAAATTTGAATTACCGAGCATTTGTGGATGCTGTCCCAACATATTTAGAACATTAATTTTGTTGTGAAGTGAGATTTAACCTGTGAAAACTTAAAACCGGATGCTTTAACTTATTTTAGTCTATTTATATTTCTCTGACCTTACATTTCTCATGTATTGATTGTGTCATTGTGTCAGACTAAGTCAGTGCTGCGCACAGCCTTTGCATTCACCCTTTGTGTCAGATAGCAGACTGACATACTTGGCATGGCAGTGTAGTGAATTATCTAATGAGGATTTGCATACTGTTGCAATTATTTTCCGGGGTTAATTAGCTGCAGTGGAACACAGCACCCTAAGAGACCGTCTTCCTGTCACCAGCTCTCACACAGTATCTTAACTTATTTATTTATTTCCCCAGTTTGTTTGTGCGTATTGGTGTGTATTCCTGTGTATGTGTATGTGTATGTGTGTGTGCGTGAGTGAGTAAGGATGTGCTGCGAGTGCATCTGCCAGTACTGTCAGAACAGCATCCCCACTGCATACCTGTTGCCAGCATCCTTCAGCCATGACTGTCAAGGGACATTTGAGGGGAGTGTACTGTTTGTGTGTGTTTACATACATAGGGATCCATACTGTCCTCCGCAGAGAATAAAAAATACAAATCTACTCCCGAGACAGTCTCCGGACTAGACCGTCTCCAGATGCTGACAGCTAACTAGTATCAAAAAGAAATGTTGAGAGAGACAGAAAAAAAGAGCTGGGAGGAGGAAATGGATAGAAGGTGCAGAGAGAAAGTGAAAGTGACAGCAAAAGACACCCATATCCACTGCATGGAGGATATACACTATATACTGTTGTGTCAAGCAGGAATAACAGGTGGAAATGCTATTTTTTTACAAATAGTAAATGGTATTTAGCAGAATTAAAGGTGCTCATGTATAAGGTGAGTATGTTTGTTAAAATGTGTTATAAAAGTGTAACATATAGGCTACAATACTGTATGTATGCAATGTCTTCTTCTTTTTCTTTCGGCTTTGTCCCTTTTTTCAGGGGTTGCCACAGCGAATCATTGATTTCCATCTCTCCCTGTTCTCTTCATCTTCTCCTCTGACTCCAACTATCTGCATGTCCTCCCTCACTGCATCCATATATCTCCTCTTTGGCCTTCCTCTCTTTCTCCTACCTGGTAGCTCCATCTCTGACATTCTTCTACCAATGTATCCACTGTCCCTCCTCTGCACATGTCCAAACCATCTCAATCTGGCTTCTCTAGCTTTTTCTCCAAACCTTCCTGTCTGTGTTGTCCCTCTAATGACCTCATTCCTGATCCTGTCCATTCTTGTCACTCCTAGAGAGAATCTTAGCATCTTTAACTCTGCCACCTCCAGCTCCTCCTCCTGTCTTCTGCCTATTGCTACTGTCTCTAAACCATACATCATGGCTGGTCTCACCACCGTCCTCTAAACCTTTCCCTTCACCTTAGCTGACACTCTTCTGTCACAGATCACTCCTGACGCTTTTCTCCAGCTGTTCCATCCTGCCTGTACTCTATTCTTCACCTCTCTTCCACAGTCTCCTCTGCTCTGAACAGTTGATCCTAAGTACCTAAACTCCTGCACCTTCACCACCTCTGCTCCTTGTAACCTCACTATTTCACTGTTCTCCCTTTCGTTTACACACATGTACTCTGTCTTGCTACGACTGACCTTCATTCCTCTTCTTTCTAGTGCAAACCTCCACCTCTCTAGGTTCTCTTCTAGCTGCTGTCTACTCTCACTACAGATCACAATGTCATCTGCAAACAACATAGTCCATGGGGACTCCTGTCTGACCTCATCTGTCAATCTGTCCATCACCACAGCAAACAAGAAGGGGCTCAGGGCCGATCCTTGATGTAGTCCCACCTCCACCTTGAAGTCTTCTGCCCTTCCAACAGCTCACCTTACTACTGTTGTCCTATTCTCATACATGTCCTGCACCAAACTAACATACTTCTCTGCCACTCCTGACTTCCTCATACAAAACCACAATTCCTCCCTTGGCACTTTGTCATATCTTTTCTAAATCTACAAATACACATTGTAGCTCCTTCTGACCTTCTCTGTACTTCTCCATCAGCATCCTCAAGACAAATATTGCTAGGCATGAAACCATACTGTTGTTCACAAATCTCCACTTCCTGCCTCAACCTAGCTTCAACTACTCTTTCTCAAATCTTCATTGTATGGCTCATCAACTTTATCCCTCTGTAGTTGTTACAACTCTGTACATCACCCTTCTTATAAATTGGCACCAGAACACTTTTTCTCCACTCATCAGGCATCTTGTCAGTCTCTAAAATTTTGTTAAACAACCCAGTCAGGAAATCTACCTCCACTTCTCCTAAACACTTCCATACTTCCACTGGTATGTCATCAGGACCAACTGACTTTCCACTCTTCATCCTCTTCAGAGCTTTTCTAACTTCATCCTTTCTAACCTGATCTGTACCTTCTTCCTAATTCATTTTACACACTACCATCCGATGTTGTTTGGCTACACTATCACCTGCCACCACCTTACAGTCTCTAATCTTCCTCAGATTACCTCTTCTACATAGAATATAATCTATCTGTGTGGACCTGCCTCCACTCTTGTAAGTCACCCTGTGTTCCTCTTTCTTTTGGAAATATGTGTTTACCACAGCCATTTCCATTCTCTTTGCAAAATCTACCATCATCTCCTCTGTTCCCTTCCCTTACATGACCATTAAGGTCTGCTCCAATCACCACTCTCTCTCCCCTGAGGATACTCTCTATCATCTAATCCAGCTCCTTCCAGAACTTCTCCTTTTCTTCTAACTCACAGCCCACCTGTGGGGCATAACCACTAACAACATTTATCATCAC